GTATATAAATAATAGGTTTTTGAATTGGTGATGACTATTTCTTTGAGCAAAATTCTAAGATGCACTAATATACAGTATATCTACAGGAAATCTACAGGAAGAAAAAGCGGTCATTAGAAGAAAATTTCGTCGAAGTTTAAAGCAGCGTGATCAAGTCTTATTTTGAAAATGACTGTACGTCATTTCCATCACAGTCTGCTGCATGCGAGTTTTTCAGCTACGGAAGCCGCGATGTTCCGATTTTCTCGGTTGGTTTCATCAGCGAGGTTCCGCTTCCTCTCTGGCAGGTTCCTACCCGGAGCGAGCGGATAGCCCAGCTGGGAAGTACCCGGGGAGAGAGACTCACGAATGAACCGGTGCGAGTCCGTAAACCGCTTCGTTTTTGACGCTTCCGGAACTATTTTCCAATCCCTGCGACGGTTCTGGTCTTTAAATCGGACTGAAAACGGCTTCGGGTCGGGACTTCGGTTGGACTGAGTTTTTTTTTCTTTCAGACTCAGACAGCAACTAGTACCGGTGAGTTTAATAGAAGCAGTCTCTCGCCGTCAGTTGTACAAGTTGCACAACTTGTTTCACTTTGTTGAAAGAACAATTTCCTTTAAAGTTCAGCAGATACGGCTGCTATAAAAGTCATTTTATTTTAGGTCTGTTAGGAGACACCTGAGTCTTTAAACTTTTCTGTGGCAGAGACTCAGACTTCATCAAACATATGGTTGTTCATTTGTCTTTTGTTGTAGCTTAATTTTAATAAATTATGAATCTTCCTGAACTAAAGTYTACAATCAGTTTATAACTAGGCTATGATCAATGTAATTAATGTTGAAATTTACGACTTGACTGAAATTTGCTGAGGAAAGCTAAACGCGACAAAAGCTAAAAGTAGCACWAGTTAGCTTAAAAGTAGCAAAACACCATCTGAATGCTAAAGTTGGTAGACTTTAGCATAGCTACAGCTACCAAATGCTAGTTATTAGCAGGAAAAGGCAGACTAATAGCTAAAAGTATAGGCTATAAATAGGCCAGCTAGAAGCTAAAAATAACAAAGAGCTATGTAAAGGTAAAGGTTATAAGTAAAAGTGGCCTTAAGGCAAAAAGTGGCTAAAGGCTTGCTAAAAGCATGAAAATGGTATTGATAAAATATAGCCGGTATTTAGCTAGATATTAAAAGTAACTAAAGACTTTAAGTAAAAAAAGAAAACATAAAGGCTAAATGTAGCATAATGGTAGCTATAGACAAAAATTAGCCTAAATCTAACTTTTAGATAGTAAAAGCACATCTTTTGGTACTTTTATCTAAAATACAGGCTACAAAATATTTATGAAAAACCATACACACGAAAAAGAAAACAATAGTCGACTGTTGAATCAGCGTCACACAAAAAAGTAAATTATTAGATGTAAACACGTTCAAACCAAATGAAAAGACTACTTTATCATCCTTAAATAACAATTACGTGTTTTTACTTGTATTTTTAAAAAACAAAAAACCTAACCCACTATTATTTTTAAAGTGTAAACCATGAAACTACCTTTAAACCTGGGAAACTGGAGGGTGTAGGTGTGACCTGTAGTTTGACATCACAGCTCAAATCTGTGCTCGAGATTTCTTCCTCTGCAGCTACAAGGAACCGATGGTTGGCGTGTCATCATGTCAGCTGTGAGTCTGTTTTGGTGCCTGATTCACTTTCTGAGGCTTTGTGAGCTTCAGGTTGTGTTAAATCCCCCCCATCGCTGTCAGAACGGTACATCTGAACATCTGGCTGTGCTGAGAGGTTTATTATTTATTTTTTCTGTGTGGTGGAAATGGCTTGTGTGTCAGTTCCATGACTCCTTCCAGGAAGTCGTCCACAGAATATCCTTTTATAGAAGTCGAACACAAAAGGCTTGTTGTGCGCTTCCTGTAAACAGCTCGGCGGCTGGGTTTTCTGCGCCCTGATTGGTCCACCTGATCTCGGGCTTCCCATGACGGCTGCCAGCCACAGGGAGTAGAAAGTACTCGGATGCAGTGAGAGGGTGGAAAATGGGGAACAGAAATCACTGAGAGCAGAAGGATGTGACCGGCTCTGAGGCTCGGTTGTGAAAGGAAGTTGTGTGAAGGCTGGCTTCATGTAAAACATGAATGCAGGTGGTGAGGATGGAAAAGGTCTGAACAAGTCTATGTTAAGAATACCTACTGAAAGGACAGGTTTTTTTTCTTTTTACTTATGCCGTTGCGTGTGTTTGTTTATCGTCTGTTAGCAAAATATCTTATGAACCACTTTGTAGATCTCATTTAAACTCTCAGAGAGTCGTTGTTGGAGCTTAAACTACAACTGATTACCTTYTGGAGTCAAGATGGCCACCACAGCTAACTGAGATTAGCCAGCTAAGAAATGGTGATGGTTTAGTCACTTTTAGAGATATTGAGCTACAGTCTGTTGTGCTAGTAGCTGAGAGTTGTCCTTACAGAGATGACTTTAACTTTCTCTATTTCAAGAACAAATTAACTTTAGTGTAAAACTCTGGAGTTTCAATATACAGCAGGTAAAATAAGTATTGAACACGTCACCATTTTTCTCAGTAAATATATTACTAGAGGTGCTAATG